TTATTTACGGGTTGTACGGAAGCCCCAAATGCAATTTCATTGTTCTCTGACAATGACAATAAATAAATAAATACAAATACAAACACAAACACAAACACACACACACACACACACACACACACACACACACACACAGGTGTACTAACGTGTGATCTTGCAGGTGTAGTTGAAAGTGACATCTTCATCTCCGCTGCTGCTCTCCAGCTGCTGCTGCTCTTCCAGCAGAGCCATGCCCACCAGGTGGAGCACCTGCAGGTGAGGTACAAACACACACACACTTTGAATCTGATGTTCATTTTATTTAGGACAGAGGGCGGCCTCTACAGGTGTTTCTGAAGATCACAGTGATGATTACAGTCAGCCATTAAAGCTGGTCACCTGATCTAACACTGATGAACACACGAGAAAACAAAAGTGGGACGCAGAGCTGACTATCGAAAACAGCAACGCAAATCTCCGCTTTCACCCAGCTTCCTCATCAACACCAGATCCCTCACAAACAAAAGAGAGGAGCTACAATCAGAGATGTACTACAACCGTGTTGTCTGGGAGTGTTGTCTACTGAGTGTAACTGAATCCTGGCTCCATCCTAACATCCCTGATGCCCCAGTGGAGTCACCAGGCTGGACCCTACACCACCAGGACCACAACAAAGGTAATGGCAGGGGCTGTAGGACTACAGTCGTAAGAACACAACTATAAACAGTCACTGCTCACCGGACTCAGAGGTCATGTCATGTCCCTTTGATCTACCTTGCAAGCTAACGGTAGCCATAGTTACCATTGTTTACATCCCCCTGATGCTAACGTTAGCTCAGCGCTCAACCACCTCCAACTTACTATTAGTAAACAGCAGAGAGAGCATATCTGTCCATATCGTTGTTGGGGACATTAATGAGGCAAGTTTGCAATCTGTACTCTACAAATGCCACCAACAGGTCAAGCGTCCTACCAGGGGGACAATACAGTACTCGTGGACTCGTGATATGTCATCAGTCGGAGACCAAGTACTGTTCCAATTCAAAGTACACATCAAGCCGAGAACGTGAAAAATTCCCAGATGTGTTCTCGCTCCGCAAGTTTTATCGAGCATACATCGGCGGTGACTTGTGTGTACTTGGTACAGCTAAATATCCCAGAATGCATTTCGTCCAAAGCTCAAACATGGCAATGGCGGAGGAGCACGGCTAAAAACGTTTAAATTTAAATATTACTCTTAAAATAAAATTTTTAGATACTTTCAGGCGAGAATGTAGCTGTGTAAGCTTCAAATATCTGCTCTGTTTATCAAAACATCACATACTTGCAAAAGTGCTCCGACGTTTTCAGAGACGTCTGTACCCACCAGCTCGATAGCTGACCGGGAGGTCAAGGGTCACTAGAGCCAGCAGGAACAGCGAACTACCGGCAGATCGTTTTCAAACCACCTGCGGTCTTTGGCTACTCAGGTTAAACATGATATATAAGTCACGTAGATCACTTCTAAATGTTAATGTTTGGTTTATTTCAGTGTTTTATTTGTTCCTGAGTAAATCGGTTTGGCTGAGATGAAAGTTCAGCTTCATAACATATTACTCACAGTTAAATTAAGAGGTGACAGCAGTAAAAACTGTGACATCATCAAGTACGCTGGTGTTCCAGTTGTACAAATCGTGAGTCTGTAACCCGAGTACGGACTTGCGTATTGAGAAAGGCCCATGGTCTGACTAACCCCCCCATCACTCAGGCCACTCACACTGTGTTCAGACCAAGTCTCTGGACTGGTTCCCAGACCTCTCCTCTCCAGTGTGTCCCTCCTGTTGCTTATTTATTCCTGCTCCCTCATTTACATTTTATTTCATGTGCAACGACAATAAAGAGCTACTCTATTCTAAACACACACACTCACCCTCTGTAGCATGGACTCAGTCCAGCCCCCCCCGCTGGGCTCCACGGCCCACTGCAGCACGGCGCCCTCTATGGCGAGCAGCGCATCACATTGCAGGAGGTTCACCAGGCTGCCGAAGAGAGGGCAGAGGGGGGGGGGAGGGGGAGGGGGCAGGGCTATGCACACAAAGACACGTTACCAAGGTGACCATGTCATCCATCAGTCTTCCTGCTGGTGTTTTGTACAGGTGTGCTTACCTGTGTCCTCGCCACTCTGTCTCCTCAGCTTTCTCTGAGCTTCCTCAGCCTGAAACACAGGACGCAGCGTTACCATAGCAACAACACGTACACCAATCAATAACGCTCTGATCCGCATCCAGATCAGTGAGCGTACCTTTGACTGGTCAGCTCTGCTGTAGTGATGGAAGTACAGGTTGAAGTATCTGTTCCACTCAGGGCGGAGCTCATACAGCCCTCTACCTGTCACACCTGGTTTCCTGTTAGTACAAATACACTCAGTACTGCAGTTATTGTAACATAGAGAACAAAGAGAAATTGTAAGGATGCACGTGTATTTAAGGTGGACTGATGATATTTGAGGTGGAAGACTGACTTGAATGAAGCCACGCTGTCGATGACTCTCTCCAGCCCCGTCTCCTTGTTCCCCTGAAGACACAAACTCAGGTTATTACATCAAACTAAAAATGTTTCAGCGCACAGAAGTAAAAACAGTAAATTCCCTGCGCTCAGAAACACTGAATAGCAAACAAACAAAACATTTTAGCCTCAGGTAAGTCAGGGTTCACCTGTTCAGCAGATCTTGTATGATCGAGCCTTACAAAGTGTCTGAGTTTAACGCTCTGGGGTTACCTTTGATTTTGATTTGACTTGCCTTGTTTTGGTATCATTCTTTTCAGCACGACCTCACATGTCTGAATTTACAGTCAAACTACTACAGTTGTATTAACACAACTGATCTAAAGTCAGGTAAAAAACATAAAATCTGAGTAGAAAAAAAGGTTATATTTTTTGCTGTAACTAACACAAACATTAATGAATCATTTTCGTAATTTGAAATGCAAATATAAACTGTACATTTTAATAACCTATGCACAAGTTATTTGCATCTATTTACCTAAAAATGCAGCCAAGGTGGGCCATTTCAAACCATTTCAAACTATTCAAAGAACAATCAGCTGTTCTGCATCAAATATCATGCCACACAAATTATTTCCGCCACTCCAAAATATAATTTGTGTCCACTATAAGATAAAGGAGAACATCACAGCCTGATACCTGCAGGCCAGACAGCAGCAGGTATTGGAGAGACAGTTTACACTGTAATCTGCCTTTGGTGGCTTTTTGGCAGCAACTGTGACATTCAGCAGTCGACTAACTACACAAAATTGCACACTAAGTACATAAAACTGCACACCAACAACACAAGACTACCCACTAACTAGTTAAAACTGCACACACTACACAAAAGTACACACTAACTAGCCACAAACTACACAAAACTGCATACCAACTACACAAAAGTACACACGAACTACACAAAAGTACAGGGTAACTGCATAAAACTGCAAACTACATAAAAGTACACATCTACTACACACTCCAAACACACTGAATGTCACAAATCTCTTGTGTCTAAACACTCTCTCACCGCTGTCACTCCTAAAACCTCTCCTTCTTCCTAAACAACCAATTGTCACATGTTGGCATATCATTTTGTGATTGGTTGACATGGTACATTTTTCCACCAATAGGAAAGCGGTGCTTTTTCTTTCTTTTATTTGGTCACAAGCAGAGAGTGCCGATAGTATTCAGCAAAAAACATCAGGTATATTTTTGATCATGACTCTGGTTTTTCGTGTTCTATCAACACAACTTAAAAACTCGTATATAGTTTGAAGTCCGCACTTAGACTTTAAACTTGGAGACTCGGGTTGGCTGCATCTTGTTGCAAAGTCATCTTAAATTGGTCATGTGATTTGGATGTGCCGACGCGTCCGTCGAGCCCAGAGGGTTAATAAACTTTTTAAAGCAGAACTCACAAATACTTACAAATATGTAATAGCATAACTAAAAAAACATTAACAGACAGGTTAGGGTCTCACATTCTCAGGTAGAGCCTTGGCAAGCTCGCTGTGAGCCATCGGTCTGATGGACAGCAGGTGGATGATTTCTCTTCTGACCTCATCGTAGGGCTCCACCTGGCCAACGCCCGCCACGTACCGCTCACCTGTAACACACATGCAGAGGCAGTGCTAATGTTGCACCTGGACAAGGTGACTTCTCTGACTCATTTTCAGAGGAAACAAACTCACCGACCACCATAATGATGAGATGAAGCATCTCCTCGATGAGAGTGTTCTGCTGGACCAGGTCCTGAAACACAGGACAGAGTGGGAGGAGTCAGTCGTACACCTGTAGCGTTTAACTCGAAAGATTCAACATTGCAAACGGATTTTTGAGGACTTGAATGTCAAACGCGACGTAATGTGAATGTCTGACCTGCAGATGTGATTCTAATTTCTCGTTACGTGCAAATAAACAGACAAGTCAAAGCGACCTGCTGCGAAATCTGACTTCTTGTCTGTTCATGCAGGTGTCTGAATTTAATCTGCTGCAGCTTTGCATCACCTGACGCTGCAGGAGCTTTAACATAACAATCTTTGGAAATGTATCTGTGTCGAGGGTGGGGCCTGTGGAGCAGGGAAATTATTTTACTGCTATTGTTAAATAATCATCATCATTACCATTGCATTAATAATATAATCTGCAGCATTGATATTGTATTCGGAGGTTTAAACAGTGTGTGTGTGTCTTTTAGAAAGACTAAGTTGCAGTTGACAGGAAGTTGCAGAGAGTTGCAGGACTGAAACCGAAAGTTATTCTGAGCAGGTTAGACGAGGCTATTTGAATAACTAGGTTATTCAAATTGTCTGTTATACTTTTATATTCTTTTACTAAGCTTTTAGTAGAGGTTCTTGATTAAAACATTTATTCAACATAGTACATGTAGTTTCAGTTAGGTTATTACACATAAGGATGAGCCTCTGGTCTGGTAAAAGGTCAGAAGTGCAACGGGTGAATTGAGAGAGCATGAAGGCAACACATCACACACACACACACACACACACACACACAAACCAACTCAGTTAGAGAGAATCATTTATAGGTGGAAGTTTAATCATGTTTTGCTTGGGGTTGCAAAAGAGCAGTTTGTCGCAGAACTGCTGCTGAGGTGTCAAGATGACAAGAGAGCATCCGGCAGTGACAGGAAGTACCGGCCATGAAGATAGAAGACAACGTTCTTTAAACTGTGTTAAAAGTCATTGTGGTTTTGATTTGACGTATGTATATATTCTGTCTGTGACGTATGAAGGGGCGTCGATTAATTCAAACCCTGATGCTATAAAAATCTGTGTATGCTTTGATTAAGTCGAAGATCAATCCCTGTCTGCGTACAGAATGGTCTTCCCACGCGTGTATTCATTAAAATCAATTGTTTGACCAAGATCTTCTGGACCTGGTTGTTTGTACTCTCCTTCCTCAATTATGTGAACCTTAACAGGCCGATAAGCTTAGCAGTAACATCATGGCGTCTTGACAACAGAAGAGGACTGACCTTGTTGGCCTCTCTGTATCTTTTCCTGATGTCAGCGGTGCTGAAAACGTGAAACACTTCAAATCGACTCAGAACAATCATCAGGAAGTGGTTTGGATCCATCATGGACGCCCCTGCCTGCACCCAACCAAAAACAGCAGCAAGCGTGAGCAGAGAGTCTGCACCAACGCTTCACAGAGGCATTATTGCTGCTGAATCAGCACTGGTAGAATAAGTGGAGCGTCAGTAGAGGCGAGTTGTACCTGTAGCATGATGATGTCTTTGTCGAACATCTCGACTCGACACTTTACATTGTGGTAATAATAAATCTGAAACAACAAACAGCAAAAAACTTAGCTAATCAGCATTGATCTCTTCAGCATAGATTAACAGGTTAGAACTCACCTGATTAATCAGTGAGAATCCGTTCCTCCTCCACATCCCAGCATGCACCTGGGCACAGAGCACCAGGCAACGGAGGGGGAGTTCAATCAGAAGGGGGGGGCTTAGTTCACCCTGAGGGACACGTGGCATTAACAATCAATGAATCAAACTGGTTGGAAAATGGCGTTTCCAATCAGGGATCACAATAATAATCTGTTACTGACCAATGGGAGCTGCTCAGGGAAATGAGACGCCACCTCTGTTCTGCTGAGGAGGATGTGCAGACCTGAGGAGGTGATTGATACAACTTCAAACAGGACGTGGAGACAGATGGTGTGACTTTTAAAATGTGTGTGTGTGTTTACCTGCCAGCAGCCTGCAGACCGGCAGGTGTATGGAGACTTTTTCCTGAGACACCTGATACCTGAATGTTTCCACGCTGTGGCCTGCCAGGCTCAAGCTGATTGGCTGCTCACCATCTGGAAGGCTGTTATGACAGTGACTGAGAGCGCTCAGACACTTCTTGTAGGCCTCGATCAGCACACGCTCCTGACACACAAAAAGGAGCAAAGAAAAGGCTTGGATGGCTCACTCAATCAATCTGTTTATTTAAAACTGATCAGATTATTGATCCAGAAAACAAAAAATAAACTGTAGGAACATAAAAGGTGACATTTGTAATGTTACATGTAGCGTGTTCAGTGTGTTGTCTCACATCAGTGGAGCACCATTCCTGGATCATCGTGATGATGTTTGTCAGCTTCATCTGCAGCGTGAACGCTGCCTCCCACTCAGGCTCCATCTCAATATGCTGCCCCACCTGTCTCACCACTGGGTCCATGCCCTGCAGGGAGGTGGGTTCACAGACAGACAGGCTCAGAGATGTTCGGGCTGCACCTGTACAGGTAAACCTCACACTGTCTCCATGTTACCTGCATGCACTTGAGCAGCTCCAGAAAAGCGTAGAAACCTTCTAGAAACTTGAGTCTGAGCTGATCGCTCCACTTGGACGGAGGGCTGATCAGGACATACCTGCATGTAGAAGCACTGGTTACACTGGCAGGCCTGGTTTTATCATAAAACACGACACACACCCACAGCGTTTACACTTGTGAAAGAAGATTCATCAAGCTACAGAACAGGATTCATGGGTACCCTGCATACACAGTGTAGGGTCATCGCACAAGAACCAGTCTCTGTTTAGTCTCCAACTAACCTCTAACTGGCTCTTCATAACCTCCAACTGGCTCTTCATAACCTCCAACTGGCTCTTCATAACCTCCAACTGGCCTTCATAACCTCTAACTGGCTCTTCATAACCTCCAACTGGCCTTCATAACCTCTAACTGGCTCTTCATAACCTCTAACTGGCCTTCATAACCTCCAACTGGCCTTCATAACCTCCAACTGGCATTCATAACCTCTAACTGGCATTCATAACCTCCAACTGGCATTCATAACCTCTAACTGGCTCTTCATAACCTCTAACTGGCCTTCATAACCTCTAACTGGCTCTTCATAACCTCCAACTGGCCTTCATAACCTCTAACTGGCTCTTCATAACCTCCAACTGGCCTTCATAACCTCTAACTGGCTCTTCATAACCTCTAACTGGCTCTTCATAACCTCTAACTGGCTCTTCATAACCTCTAACTGGCTCTTCATAACCTCCAACTGGCCTTCATAACCTCTAACTGGCTCTTCATAACCTCTAACTGGCTCATAACCTCTAACTGGCATTCATAACCTCTAACTGGCCTTCATAACCTCCAACTGGCATTCATAACCTCTAACTGGCATTCATAACCTCTAACTGGCCTTCATAACCTCTAACTGGCTCTTCATAACCTTGGCTCTTCATAACCTCAACTGGCCTTCATAACCTCTAACTGGCTCTTCATAACCTCTAACTGGCTCTTCATAACCTCCAACTGGCTCTTCATAACCTCCAACTGGCATTCATAACCTCCAACTGGCCTTCATAACCTCTAACTGGCTCTTCATAACCTCCAACTGGTTTACTACTCTTTCATAACCTCCAACTGGCCTTCATAACTCTAACTGGCCTTCATAACCTCCAACTGGCATTCATAACCTCTAACTGGCACTTCATAACCTCTAACTGGCCTCATAACCTCCAACTGGCTTCATAACCTCCAACTGGCATTCATAACCTCTAACTGGCTCTTCATAACCTCTAACTGGCTCTTCATAACCTCTAACTGGCTCTTCATAACCTCCAACTGGCCTTCATAACCTCTAACTGGCTCTTCATAACCTCCAACTGGCCTTCATAACCTCTAACTGGCTCTTCATAACCTCCAACTGGCCTTCATAACCTCTAACTGGCTCTTCATAACCTCCAACTGGCCTTCATAACCTCTACTGGCATTCATAACCTCCAACTGGCATTCATAACCTCTAACTGGCTCTTCATAACCTCTAACTGGCCTTCATAACCTCTAACTGGCTCTTCATAACCTCCAACTGGCCTTCATAACCTCTAACTGGCTCTTCATAACCTCTAACTGGGGCTCACTTGAGGTCACCAATGAGGCTCTGGACTCTCCCGAACTTGAAGGCCTGCTGGGCGGTGTAGCGGTCGAACTGGAAGCGCCCCTGCGGGTCTCTGTGGCGGAGGTGATCCACAAAGGTCCTGATGATGGTGGTCATCAGGTTCTCCTCCACCATCAGCATCCGGGCCTGCAAAACATTTGAGACCCACACACCAACACACACACACCCCCACACACGTACAGATGTGTCGTTCCTCATGTTCAGTGTTGGGCCTGTTATCATTTCGATCTGTGTTTCTTTGCTTGTGACATTTATTTTGGTGGATTCTGAAGAACTAAACTTTAAAGGTGATTGATCTGATTATTATTAATACATAATATATTAATAATAATTATATCTGTTATAATTATTGATTATCAACTAATCAGCTTTCAATGAAACTTCAGGGATGACTTTAGATCATAACATTTTTTCAGTGATGTCTGACATCCGTTCCACCTGAGGGTGAAGCACCCACTTTAAACAACTCAGCCGGTGGGATGGCATCTACTCCGGTGGCAGCCACCTGAACTCACCAGTGATGGTACGGTGAACATTTGCACTGACAGGTCAGTGATGGAGAACTCACGGCCGTGGTCGTCTTTCACATAGTCGCTCTGCAAGCGTTCGTAATTCTAGCAGCGGGAGAGAGAGGGGGACACAGAGAGAGAGAGTTGTGTGGAGGTGCAGGAGGAGTACTCACCATGGTCGGGACGGTGAAGAGCTGGACAGACAGCGACGTCACTGACACCACTCGCTCGTGGTCGTCCTCCATAAAATCTGTCTGTAGGCGTCTGTAGTTCTGGAGGGACGACATTTCACCTCTGGGTCAGAGGTCGCTGCTGTCCGCCCAACACCCCACCACCACCCACACACTGACTCCTTTAAAAACCTGTCGCTAAAACTCTGATATTTTTAAGACAGCTCACAAAAGAAAAGTGTATCAAGACTTCTGTTAGTTCTGTAAACCTGACCTTAACACAGCACATGCACAGCAGCGACTGGTTCTTTAATCAAGATCAGCAGCAGCTTTAGGCGATCAGCTCAGCATGACCCATTTTAAATTATTTGTTTCCCACCTGAGGGTTATTTTCAGTCCGAAGACCGATTCCTGTGAATAATATGTGGACATACGTGCTTTGATCACTGAAGTCTTTCTGTCAGTCGACTTTTTAATGATTCATTTTCTAGCTGAGTGATCACCAGCATCTTTAACTTCAGTGAATTTTTATCCTGATATATCATCCTATCCTTCAAATTGAGAACCACCAGTCTGCCAATCCAGAGGTACTGCCCTACATCTCCATGCAACACTGTAGAGATGTGTCCAACACAGCCCTACAACATCTGAGCCTTCAGAAACTCACAGCAAACCTCATCCACCCCAGGGGCTCTGCCATCAAGGAGTCGTTTACCTGCCTCAGTGACCTCGCCTCCAGTGATGGATGACTCACCACCCCCATTTGCTGCTTCCTCTACAGAAGTTGTATCAGTGGGATTAAGGAGGTCCTGGAAGTATTCCTTCCATCGTCCAACTATATCCTCAGTCAGCAGCGCTCTACAGTGCGGGTAGAGCGCTGCTTTCCGTTCCCGCGTCACCTGATGGTTTGCCAGAATCGCTTTCAAGGAAAGTCATTGACCTTACTGAACTCCTCCCACACCCAAGTTTTTGCTTCAGCCACTGCCCGGATAAGTGTTCCGCTTTACCTTCCGGTACCCATCAGCTGTCTGTGAAGTCCCGCAGGCTAACAAAGGCCAATAGGATTGTTCTTCAGCCTGATGGCTCAGTTGGAAGTAAGAGTTCAAGAGCTCACAGACTGTGCCAGGCATTCACATTGCACTCTCACTATATGTTTAAGTGAGGCAAGCCTGTCCACAGTCCTAACCTACAACCTGATCCAACTCACCACCAGGAGGTGATCAGTTGACACCTCAGCAGCTCTTTTCACCCGTGTATCCAGAATATACACCTGCAGATCCGATGATACGATTACAGCATTGATCATCAACCTAGGGTGTCCCTGCTGCCATGTGCATTTACAGACGCCGTTTGAACATGGTGTTTGTTATAGACAAGTAACAGAACACCACTTGAGTTCAGACCAGGCAGGCCGTTCCTCCCAATGACGCCCCTCTAAGTCTCACTGTCAATTGCTCATATGAGTGTTGAGTCTCCAGATGGAGCACCTCGAGCACCCCACCCAAAGACTCCCCAACCTGAAGGTGTCTGGTCTACTGGGAAAAAATCCAACATACAGGGCCCAAGATACCCACATCAACACACTGTCTCTTACTAAAGGCAACTCCAGACTGGAACAGAGTACAGCCCCTCTCTAGGAGACAGGTTCTAGAGCCCAAGCTGTGTGTTGAGGTGAGCCTGACTATATCTAGCCGGTACATCTCAACCTCGCATACTCCTTCTCCACCAGAGGGATGATGTTCCGTGTCCCGAACGCCAAACTCGGGGATCGATCGGTCAGGATCTCTTGCCATTAGCACACACTGCACCAGACCTCTACGGCACCCCATGGGGCTGGTGCAGGCCTACGTCGGGTGTCGGGTGCACCCAGCCGGGCCTTTTGAGCTAAGGCCTGGCCACCTGGCGTTCTCCCATTGGACACACTTCCCAGGCCTGGCTCCAGGACGGGGTCCCAGTAACCGTATCCCAGGCAGGGTGAACTCCCTTGTTGTTAAACTCATAAGGGTCTTTTGAATATCTCTTTGCCTGGTTCCTGACACAGGACCAATTTGCCATGGGAAACCCTACTAGGAGGCAAAAGGCCCTGAGAACATAGCCCCTGGGTTCCCTAGGACAAACAAACTAGTCTACCACACTAAGACAGCAGTTCATGGAGGGGTTAATGTGAATTATGGCGCTCTTTGACAGGACACACTTTCCAAAGTGAGAAAAACCCCAAATTAATGAGATTTATGGTTTATTTTTGGCAGCGTAACCCCTTTTCTCTGTTGTTTTTGTCTGCTACATGAGCATGAAGGCTCTACACCTCAGGGTTGCTCTGTTCTACTTTGTGATGTCTTGCTGTTCTGTGTATTGTGACGTTCTGTTTTGTTGTTTATATGACACTGTTTAGTAAAGTCTGTTTCAATGAACAAAGTTCACTCCAGAGGATCTTTTTGAGTACCGTAAACGTCGGGATATAAGCCGCTACTTTTTGCACAAGCTTTGAACCCTGCGGCTTTTAGTCAGGTGCGGCTTTTCTATGGATTGTCCGTGATTTTTGTCATATCGTAAGACGATTTGTTTTGTGTGTTCCGCTGTTGTACGGCACTACGTTGCCTGGCGGAAGGATCGGGGTTCAAGAGTGGTATGTTAGTCACATGTCCGTCCGCCAGGCAACGTAGTGCCGTACGAAGTAGCGCGAAAAACAAACTTCAAAGTAGCGGTACGCGTTCAGCGGGAGTCGTGGATGATGAGCGGCGATAAACTTGCAAGTTATGCCCAAAAAGCAAGTTATGCCCAACTCCACCGGTGGATTCTGACAGCGTGGAAAAGTGTGAAAACATCCACGATCACCAACGGATTTTGAAGAGCTGGACTGCTGCATGATGGAGAGGAGGACACCGCCACGGCCCTTCTGAGGGTGTTCGACTCTGACACTGACAACGAAGGAGAGAAGCGGAGAGTGGATGACGAAGCCATCCTGAGCCTGTTTGTATCCGACACTGGAGAAGAGGACTTTGGTGGTTTTAGTGCGCAGGAAGAAGAGAAAGATGGTGAATGACTGACTTTTCTTCTTGTTAAAGCTGTGTCACTGCACCTGAGCCTAAAAGGTAGTCCGAATCTATTTTTCTGGTGTGCTGTAGGCTACTCTTATGTACTACATGTGCAAATATGTACCCATAACTTGTTTTTCAAAATATTAATAAAAGTGATATCTCCAAACAGCCATCTCTTTCCTGACAATTCCCTTTGTGCATATTCTCTTACATATGATAAGTCAACATTGAAACACCTGCAGCTTTTGGTCAGGTGCGGCTAATGTATGTACAAAACAGGATTTTCCCCTGATTTTAGCTTGTGCGGCTAATATTTAGGTGCGCTTTGTAGTCCGGGAAATACGGTACTTTGATTTATTTGGATCTAAAAATTCAATCGACACACGACTGGCTGGATGAGGTTTTTCATTTTAGCTGTAAACAAGCCAACAAGGTCATGTGGTGAGGTTTTAGGCTGTTGCACTGAGGAAACAGATGCTGCCAGGAAATCACAGATCATCGAGATTCTACTAGCATAAACCCCCCCAGACTATATAAACCTCCACAGCTGTCACGGGTGTTCCGATCAGGTATATACACTCACCAGCCACTTTATTAGGTATGCCTGTTCAACAGCTTAATGCAAATATGTAATCAGGCAATCACAGGGCTTCAGCTCAGTGTATTCAGACATGTAGATATCAGACGAGCTGAAGTTCAAAATGAACATCAGATTAATGAAAGAAAGTGATTTAAGAGACTTTAAGCGTGGGATGGTTGTTGGCGTTTCAGACTGCTGATCTGATGTCATGTTCCCACCAACCATGTCTTAAATATGACAGTGAGTTTGCTGTATAAGGGCCTCCACGGTCAAAGATCTCAGTGCAGCAGAGCTCCTCTGTGCTCAGATGGAACAGAAGTTCTCATCATGCCGTGTCCACATGGACCAGCCTCTCTGAGTGTTTCCAGCAGCTTACTCAATCTGAGCCGTGAAGAATTGAAGCAGCTCTTAAAGAAAAAGGAGAACCAACCAGTACCAGCAAGGTGTACCTAATGAAGTGGCTGGCGGGTGTCAGGTATACTGCACAGGTGTGTTACCTTGGCAAATTGGATGGCAAAGATCTTCTTGTACTTGAGGTCCATGAGGAGGCTGTTCATGAGTAGCTGGTGATAGATGTTCCTCGCTCCTGCAAACATGACAGATCAGCTGACCTCAACTTGCTTGCATTTACTTGCAGCTCATCAACTCGCACACCATGAACAAACAGATCAAGGAGACTGCCATGCATCCAAACTTCAGCTAGTTAGAGTGCCTGTCAGTCACATTCAGCGCCAATCGAGAGTTTAAGACCACTTGAAAAATGGCCAAAAATCCTATTTTGCATTGTTGGATCTTCCAAGTTCCAAGTAGAGCTTCAACATGCAGAAACGGGAGTGAGACATAACATGCTTTGAGCATGCAGTTTACTAAAAACAAAACTTATACCAGGGGTCTGCAAACTTTAACACCCAAAAAGCCACTTGGACCCGGTTTCCACGCAAAAGAAAACACTGGGAGCCGCAAATACTTTTTTAAATCTAAAATGAAGATAACACTGTATATATTGTTTGTTTGTTTGTTTTTTTAACCTTTATGCTTTGTGTGAACTAAAGTAAGTAAGTAAAGTTTATTTATTAAGCGCTTTTCACAGACAGGCAGTCACAAAGCGCTGTACACAAATATTAAAATAAACAATACAATCAATAGACATTATACACAATGTAAAAGATCAAATGTAAATAATGTAAAGAATATAAAATACGTAGATCAACAAAAGGCTTGTTTGAACAGAAAAGTTTTTAACTGCTTTTTAAAAGAATCCACGGAGCAACTAAGGTGTGTTGCTTATGAAATCCATGAAGTGCTACAGAGAAAATTACATTTTATTCATGTAATTAACACATTTTGAACTCTTAAAGAAATATAACAAAAGGAAAGCTGAACTAAAATGATCCAGCAAACAAAAACTGTTGTGAGCCGCCCCCCTCATATCGCCTTTGGGCTTTTGGAGCCTTGACCTGACTTTTAAAAAGTAATTGGGAAAAAAAGCTCTATGCTGCTAAAAAAAAAATAGATATTTGCAAAATTCTGCTTAAATATGTATTTACCTGGTTAATGTGTGTGGCGGGGCGTGGTCTGCAGCACCGCTGCAGGGGAGGTGGATTGTAGCGTTGTCCTGCTGATAAACCCAGTGTTTATCACACAGATGAGGGCCCTCAGTCACGAGGACGCTCTGCAACATCTGGACATGGCCAGCAGCCATTTGCCACCCCTGCACCTCCTGAAGCTCCGTTGTTCCATTGAAGGAAAAATCACCCCAGATCATTATGGAGCCCCCTCACTGTGGGCGTAGTAAACACCTCAGGTGAGACCTGCTTATCATGGCAGTAACACTGCAAACCATCAGGACCATCAAAGTTACATTTGTTCTCATCGTCTAAGGAGCTTGGAAAGAAAAGTGTCTGGACTTCTGGAAGTTGCTTGAAGACGTTTCACCTCTCATCCGAGAAGCTTCTTCAGTTCTAGGGTCAAATGGTGGAGAGTCCCAGATTTAAGCCCTGTGGGAGTAACCCCCCGAGAGGGGACAATGGACCCCCTAATGATCCTCTACCTAATCACATGAGCCAAGGTGTGAAAGAGGCTCATGTGATTAGCTAGAGGACCTTTCAATGTCCCATGTTTGGTCAAAACGGTCAGTTCTGTGGCATCCATGGAGACGAGGCCTTTGAAGACGTGTTTTGAGGCTCAGTGCTGATGACATTTGTTTGGGTCTTCCACTTGACTTTTGTTCCATAAACCTCAGGATCATTTCAGGAATTCCAAATAACTGTCTCACTGCGTCCCACCTCAGCAGTGACGGTGCTGTGAGAGACCATGCTTATGCAGTTCAACAACCCGACCCCGTTCAAAAAGGGAACATTTGTTTGCCTTTGCCATCAGAACATCATGACAGTGTGACTACCTGACAGGAAATGACAGTGAATCCACATTTGTGCCCAGATTTGTCCTTTTAAAGGCATGTGGCCCGAAACTTTTGATCAGCCGTAAAACAGCCCGTTTCAGTTTGTGTTGTTTTCAATAAACTGCATGCTCAAATGTTTTGTCTCAATCACATTTCTGCATGTTAAAGCTCTAGTTGGAACCTGGTGAAGATCCAACCATGCAAAATATGACTTTTGGCCACTTTTCAAGTGGTCTTAAACATTTAATTGGGACTGTATCTCTGCTGTGTGCCTTTGAAGGACCAACTCACAGATAAACACAAACTGTTTCACACCCGTTGGCTTCACGACTGTGGCCGTTCGAGCGCCATATGACTAGCAGCGGTACGTGCGGTTACCTTTCCACATCTTGGAGTCGTTGAGCATCAGTCGGTCGACAAGCGAGGAGTTCTCTCCCTCTGGACCTTTCTGCAATCCTACCTGACACAGGATCCTCCTCAGGCCGTCTAAAACACAGTCCACAGTCACCACATGCAGCAGCAGAGACACACACAGAGGAATTGTGGGTAATGAAGTCCACACGTACCAGAGTACTGAATGATCTGACCCAGCCAGCTCAGAGCCTTCAGAGCAAAACACTGATGAGCAACGACAGACGAGTGCATCACCTGAACCCGGAGAGGCTTTGACTGACGACTGGTGTTTCTCTGAGGGGATAGGATAGGAGGAGGAGCAGAGGAGGTGGTGATGGGGATGTAGGAAGAGGAGGAGGTGAGACATTCTTTGTTTTCTTAAATTGCTGTGATGAGTAAAACCAGAAGGCAGTGAATGTAAATGAGTGCGACATTGAACGTCCCTGAAGCAGGCACCGTCAGCACCCCCCCCCACATCAGTTCAAGACTTCCTGTCATTTACCAAACTTGGAAACACTCACCACAATCACGGACTTGGCCTGTTCACAGAACTGGAAGTCTCCATACCGAACAGACTTCCTGCCCTGCGCGTGCACGCACACACACACACACACACACACACACACACACACAAAACAGATTCTTAGAATAATCACCAGAACATGAAAAACAAGAAGCTCCTTGTCACATTTCTGAGTTCCTATAAGCGTGTTACTGTGTGTGTGTACTGACATCTCGATCCACCGTAGTGGCGAAGCTCACGGCCTCCTTCTGGCTGCAGCTGACAGCTTTCTGCAGCGTGTAGATCACCTGCTCGTACGTGTGCACTTCATCATTGAACAGCATGCAGTAGTAGGTGTCCTTTCGCTCCCTGCACACAGACACACACACACACACACACACACACACACACACAGTGTGAACGCTGCAGTATGACGCGTTTACTGTCACGTGTCTCAGGTAAAGGTAGAGTGAGCCTACGGTGGCTGCAGTCCTGCGGGGAGCAGGTCCTCGTGCTCCCAGGTCAGCAGGTCGACGGCATACTTCAGGATGATGAAAAAGACACTGAACGCACGGCCGACCATGTCAGTGGGTAGCTGAGCTACGGGGTCCTGGAAGGACAAATAGCACAGAGTGAGCACTCTGAGAGACGGGGTTACCATCCTAAGCCAGCTCAGTTCACACCAGCCTCTAATCAGTCTCTCACACTCAAACCACAGCTGTGAAGTATGTCTGTGAAGGTTCTCAGTCATCCCTGTCATCATAGTCTAAGAAAGAAAAAGGCATCTGGACTTCTTTAAGTTGCTTGAAGACGTTTCACCTCTCATCTGAGAAGCTTGTTCAGTTCTAGGGTCAAATGGTTTTTCTTTCCAAGCTCCTTAGACCACAGCTGTGAAGATCCTTCTTCCTTCCATCCAACACAGAGTAAAACAACCCACGATTACTGCCACTCAAAAATAAAAATAAAATCCAAACTACAAGATCCAGGGAACGGAGGAAATATTTGCATGGCTGCTTTTATATTCTCTGAAAAGACGCTTAGGAACCTCCTCAAATAGGAACCTCCTCAAATAGGAACCTCCTTTTAATGTTTTAATCGGGGAGCTCTCAGAGGACAACTTATCAGCGCTCAGGTCTGCTGAAAGTGAATAAGTAAGTAAAGAAATTTTTATTTATACAGCACCTTTCAAGATAAAATCACAAAGTGCTTCACAGAAGCTAAAACATAAAAACAAAAATCAACCAAAAGCAAGTTTAAAAAGATGAGTTTTTAGCTGTTTTTTAAAAGAGACCACTGAGTCCACAGATCTCAGGCTCAAAGGGAGAGAGTTCCACAGTCTGGGGACCACAGTTACAAAAAGTTTGTCGCCTTTTGTTTTCAGCCTCGTGTGCTCGACAACCAGCAAGCCCTGATCACATGACCTCAGAGACCTGAGGATGTACGGATGTAAAACATCACTGATGTATGTTGGTGCTTGTCCATGTAGAGCCCTGAATGTCAAAATCATAATCTTAAAGTGGACTCTGAATATTATGGGGAGCTAGTGCAGCTACATCAGCAGGGGTGTGGCATTACTTGGAAGGCTTGGTCTGAAGCTTTGCTGCAGCATTCTGAGCACCCTGCAGATATTCCAAAGAGGCATTACATAAACAGGTGAACAAGGAATTACAATAGTCCAAACGAGATGAGACAAATGCATGAATGATTATTTCCAGTTCAGAGCGTGACTCAATGGTACTCAGCTTAGCAATGTTTCTTAAATGGTAAAAACAGGAGCAGACCAGAGATTTAACATGAGCCTCCAAAGTCAGAGCTGAGTCAAAAGTTACATCAAGGCTCCTGATAGAATGATGAAAAATGTCGGACCATTACTGAGCGACAGTCAAACCGGCTTCCAAACACTGCAGTGAGATGACCTCCTTGACCGGACGTCCAAGGCTGGCTGATGAAGGAGTACCCGCCCGGGCAAAGCTCGATGAGGGATGAGTACTCACCATCGCGCTGCCAGGTTTCAGTTAGAAATAAGAAATCCAGGGTTTTTTTGGAAAGAATAAAATTGTTCAACAAGAACATTTTATTTGTCGTTGATTGGGCATTAAAGAGCGCCATGCTCTGCGAGGTAGAAGTTGAATCATTAACAGAAATGGCCCAAATTAGGGAACATAAAAACTGACCTTTGTAAATTCCACTCACTGTGTGGACAGAAGGCCAAACAACTGGAGAGTCTGTATAAACACTCCTGAGGTAGCATAGTCTCACAGGTCCAGGCCCTACATAATCAAGCAGGGACAAGGAAGAAAAATTCCCCTCCGTACAAACTGTCTGACCACAGGTGACTCAGCGTCGCTTACCAGCTAATCCTCGCTTCAGAAAACTAAGTTTCACCTGAACACCTGCTCTCTGGAGAATGATCTGAACATTAATCACGTTCAGACTGAGCAACGGGGGGGGGGGGGGAGTCACAGACAGATGGGGTCATGTCATCAGCTCTGCTCAATTTGCTTGATTTTCTAATTCTGTTCACGGCAGGAAGGTTTTTACTTAACAATAATTTAACAAACATTAAGTCAGACCGACGGACAGAGCCACAGATGGTTAAGGTGCTAACATACCGTCCACAATGCCGTCATCACACAGAGGCAGCCGTTTGTACCTGCGGGCACTTCACAAAGAGCCACTGTGGTATTCTTCTAAATGAAACATGTTGCCATGCCGACAATATCACGTCACACGCACTGATGATGAGGAGAACAAGCCAAGAGTTTGTCGAGTGTTTGTCATATGTGTCAGTGTGTCTGTCCCTGCAGGAGTATCATTAAGATGGTGGGAAGAGCCAGCATGACTGTAAACTCGAGACAGAGTCACAGACAGAGAGTCACAGACAGAGTCACATAGTTAAAGAGAGTCACAGACAGAGTCACAGAGAGGGTCAGAGACAGAGAGTCACAGACAGAGAATCAGACAGAGAGTCACAGACAGTCAC